ACCAAGGACATTGAAATTGCCCAACAGCATTGAGCTCCTGGGAAGCAGACACTCAGGGCAAGTGCTGACAGTCTAGTCTACAACGGTGAAATGTACTGTAGTTCTATTTAAATGATTCTACATTTCTGCATGGCAGGATCTAACCTTGAATGCTGCTGACAGAATTGCAGAATTGAATGGATACACTTGCTCTCCACAAACCCCAAACCTTACTCTGGAGTTCTATGAACTCAAAAGCCATTTATTTATTTATTTTGGTAACTGCAAGGGCTGAAGTAGCACCTTGCATCTAGGAGATAGTCACACTGATATTAGTGTATGCAAATGTCAAAAAAGTTCTGTGTTCTCTTTTGCTCTCCTGATGGTTTTGGGGTTTTTTTGGGGTTTTTTTAGTTATGCAAGCACCCACTCTTGAATCTTATAATTTGAGTATACTATTGCACCATACTTTGAACCTGGATGTGCAAGTGATGGCTATTGTCAGAGACATGTTTGCCTAACTTCAGCTGGTGTGCACCAACTGCATCCTTTCCTTGAGATTTGACCATGTTGACACATCCCTACCTAGGTAACCTGTCATCTGGACTATGGCAAAAAATTCTACTGCCTTTGAAAAGGGTTCAGAAACTGCAGCTGGTCAAACTGCTGACTGCAACAAGGTATAGGCAATATGCAATTCCCTTGCCCTATATTAGCTGCCAGTCTGTTTCTCAATCCAAGGTAAAGTGCTGATTTGGAGCTCACTAATGGATGGATCGCCTTCCCCTTTATGAGATTCCTGGGTATGAATTCTGCTCTTTGTCGCACCAGAATTGCATTTGGCAGAAATGAAGGAGTGGGCCTTCGGGAGGGGATCACACCGAAGTCTGGCATTCCTTCCCTCCCGAGCTGCAATTCACCCCCTCTTTGATACATCTCATGGACTGATGTGAAAACTTTTCAATAGCTTATTTTAATTAGATGATTATAATCTCTGTTGCTCAATAAATATTAGGCTAGATCCAGACATAGCCATGCCTACAGGATGCCCATTCAAGCCCATGTTAAACTTGTCCCACTGATGTAAATGGGTTTACTCTCTGTTGCTGTGAGCCTTCAAGTCATTCCCAACTTACAGAGAACCCAAGGCAGGGTTTTCTTGGCAAGATTTGTTCATAGGGGGTTTGTCTTTGTCTTCCTCTGAGGCGGAGAGAGTGTGACTTGTGCAATGTCACCACTAGGTTTCAATGGCTGAGCTGGGATTTGAATCCTTGTCTCCAGAATCGCAGTCCAATGCATAAAGCACTACACCACACCGGCTACACTATCTATGACTAAATTGAACCTAGCTAGCCCACTGTTTGTGCTGTCTCAGACTTTTCGTTCATTTTACTTCCCAGTATTCTTATTATGTATTTTAATATGTTTAATATTTTAGTCATTTTGTTGTTGTTGTGCCTAAAAAGGCACTTTTTGGGTGGAATGGCAAGAAATAAACCCCCTTAATATATAAAACAGGTGCTTTCCATAGGGGTAGAATTCAAAGATATAGCTGTGTTATTCCGTAGACTCAGATGTAGAGATCTGGTAGGACCTTTGAGACTAACTGAAAGAAAGAAGTTGGCAGCATGAGCTTTTGCAGACTTAAATCTACTTCCTCAGATGCATTTCCATCCAAATGCATCTGGAGAAGTAAACTTAAGTCTGCAGAAGCTCATGCTGCCAACTTCTTTCTTAGTCTCAAAGGTCTTACAAGATCTCCCTGCATATAAAACAGGAATAGAGATGCTAGAACCATTTTACAAGAGCTTGGGACAAGTTGCTTTTTTGGACTACAGCTCTCGGAGCCCGTCGTTCCCATGCTTACAGAATTATAACCTAGCAAGTGAGTGGGATAGCTGAATTCATTGCGTGTATTCTTAGATGACCTAGGGTCCTTTGTTGCAGGTGTTTAAACCGAATTTGGATGGTCCTATTAGGGATGCTTTAGCTGTGAGTTTCTTGCACTTGGCAGGCTTTTGATTAGATGTTTCCTGATGTTCCTTCCACTTCTTCAACTCTATTGCTGTGAATCTAAGAGACACCATTCACCAGCCATAGCATGGTGGAGATGGCATATAATTTTTTTTTTCTGGACCTGTTTGGGGTTGTTTTCTTAACTCTGCCTTCCAGGCCATCGTTCCTCGACAGGATGGGGTTTGTTATTGCCATGAAAAGGGCTTTGTCCTGGCTGTTATGGGGTGGGATGGGGGGAGTGTGGGAGGAAGAGCATCAAATTCCTGTCAACAAAAGCCCATCGGCAGGACCGGCATGGCGGCAGGCATCCGCCTGGCACGCACCAGAACCAGACACGTTGCTGCCTGTCGCAGTATCAGAGGCTCTTTTCTTTACATGAGGACCAGTGGCAACCGTCCAAGCCAAATCAGTGGTGGGGGGAAATGATAAGGACATTGCCTGGATGATATTGCCTTGCAGAAATACTATCCTCCGCTGGTAAATTACATAACTGGCAGAATTAAAAGGAAGGGGTGTTTTAATTTCCACGTCAACGTTTCCCAGGGACAGATTATCATACGTAACAGCCTCGGCTAGCTCAGCAGCAAAGCTCAGTACGCTCCTCTAGGCAATGCACAATCCCTGTTTAAAACCCACCATGCAGTTAATAGACCATCTTTGCAAAAATTGGTGGCCCTTTTGGCTCCCCTACACAGAAGGCACTGACCTGCCTTCAAGCAAATCAACCCATCTTTCTTTCAAAAATTCATCTTCTCTAGTAGCTGCGTTGTGCCACACTTGTACTGTATTAAAAGGTCCATCCTTCTTTTTTCTTTTTTTTCTTTTTTGCAATAAAAAGCTCTTCTATCGGGGTAAGAGCAGCCAGCCAAAGGTGCGCTTTCACTGGAAATGCAGAAATGGAGGATTACTACAGATCCACCCCATGCACTACGGTCCCAGTCCTGAGCCGACTTCCAGGCAGCTGCTATTGGAAGTAAAAAAGAAAAAAGAAGCATGCAACAATCAACGGGTTTAATATCATGTGCATGTGGCCTTACTTTTGGTTATGAATCCTAGAACTGTAATAACTTTGGTCCAAACACACTACAGAAATAATCCAGTTTGAGACTGTTTTAACTGCCCTGGCTCAATGCTAGGGAATTTGGGGAGCTGTAGTTTTGTGAGACACTAAGCCTTCTCTGTGAGAGAGCTCTGGGGACACAATAAACAATTCCCAGGATTCCCTAGGACTGAGCCAAGGCAGTTAAAGCAATCTCAAACTGAATTATTTCTGCAGTGGGTTTTGGACCTTAGAAAGCACTTGCAAGATAATTAATTAAAATTAATCACAAGCATCTCTTATGTTTTATCTGGCTGAACATGCAAGATTCCTGTTTTCCCTCAGTTGAATTTTAGACTGGAAGTAGTGTCTAGGAAGCAGCACACACATTAATCATATTGGAACAGAAATCTGCATTTCAAAGACTGACTAGTGGGTATCTT